ATTTTGGAATGTGGATATTCCCTTTGCACTTGCTCCAGGGCCCCAGATACATTACTGGAACTGTAGTTGGAGCTTGGAAATGTGGAACTACTGTACATCTGTGAGGGACTGGAAGGGCAACAGGGATCTCTGACCTGCCTCCATTCGGAGAGTGTTCTTACAGGGCATTAATCCTACTGTGAAAATCCTCACGATGCCCAGATAAAATCACCACAGAATCTTTACCCCCGCCTTTTGCGGTGCCAACATTGCCTCTGCAATGCCTCTGACTTTCTTCTTCTGTTCTTGCTCTCGCCTCACTAATTTCTCCGAGTTCTGTTTCTTTTTAGCGAGATCATGTCTTGCAAGTCTAGGCCTGGGTTCATTTTTCTTTGCATCATCTGAGGAATCATAAACCATGCCAAAGCCATTTGTCTTGCCATCACGGAAATGGGTTCTGAATCCAAATACAAAGATGACATCCAGTGTGGTCTTGAATGTTTTGGGTAGCTTTTCCTGAATTTCTGCCTTAGGTGCCGTTGCTTTCCCAGGGTAAAGGACATCGATGACCGTTTGTTTCCTTTTAGGTAATCAGCTGATCAAGAACTTCCTGGTTTGAATAGTTGTTGCTTTTAATTTGGTATGGTTTAGTGTTTTTGAGACAGGATCTCTCTATGTAGTTCAGGTTCGTCTTTTCTTCCCCCCATTAAGTTTATTGGTACATATAAAGTAAACAATAGTTATGTTTATCATTGGGATCTTGTTAGGCTCGTCTTGAACTGACTTTGTAGCCTGTGCTTGCCTTAAACTCACAGCAGTCCTCCCTCCTCTCAAGCAGAGGGCTGAGGTTACGGGTGTGCACCATCACATGCAGCTGGTCTGTATACTTACTGTGTTCTTCATAGGCCTGGCTGATCTTCAGGTACTCAGGGGTTGGGGGAAGAGCCGACTCCACCCCTCTCTGCTGCAGGCAGAGAGCTCTGTTCTACTGCCACGGGGTTAACTAGTGCCGCTTTATCACGATTTCTTCCCTTATTCTAGGTTTCAGCCTGAAGTGCTACGAGTGCCTTAAGAAAACTGCTACATGCAGTGAAACTAAATTGTGCACACCAAACCTCGATGCGTGCCTCATTGCTCAGTCTGGTAAGAGTACCCCCCTTTCCCTATGTCCTGTGTGCAATGGGGTGATGACAGCCTGGGGATCGTGTACCTCTCCCATTCTCACTCAATTTATACCCATAGCAATAGCCCCTGATCATTAGCACCAGCTGTGTGTTAAGCAATATGCCCTCTCCATAAAGTTTTTATTCGGTGCTTCTCACCTACCTCTCTCAGTCGGATCTTTGATTCCTCTTTAATACATGAGGAAATAGAATCTTAGGTTTACCAACAGGATAAGGTCAGTTAACCAGTTTAGAATTTAAATATGGAAATGCGTCTGATTCCAGAACTTTTGCTTTTAAATGAATACACTGTGCTGCCTCCCAAACTTTTAAGAGACTTTTGTGTGCCAGGCCCTGAGCTAGGTTCTAAGATTGATGGCTCAAGCTGTAATCCCAGCTGCTTCGGAAGCAGTTGGGGGCATCAATTTTGAGAATGGCCTAGCAGATTTAGAGAGGCCCTGTCTTACAATTTTAAAAAAATTGAAGTGATGGGGATGCAGCTCTGTGGTAGAGCACTTGCCTAGAAAGCACGAGGCCACAAACTGAATCCCCTGTAGTAGGAGTGAGGATCAGGAAGAGACATGTACGAAAGCTATGACAAAGGCCCGTTGGCTGTCCCAGTAACTTTATTATCCCTCTGTCTCATTCCACGGGGGATCTAGTACATACAGAGTTCCACGAGGACACGAGCTGATCTCTCAATGCCTAGAAAGCACGAGGCCACAAACTGAATCCCCTGTAGTAGGAGTGAGGATCAGGAAGAGACATGTACGAAAGCTATGACAAAGGCCCGTTGGCTGTCCCAGTAACTTTATTATCCCTCTGTCTCATTCCACGGGGGATCTAGTACATACAGAGTTCCACGAGGACACGAGCTGATCTCAGGGGAGAAATACAAATTAGGAGGCCTAAGAAGGCAAGGGTGTTCCTGGGATCAGCAACAGCAGGTTCCCCGCACAGTGGCCCCGGGGAGCAGAGTGCTCATGAGTGTGGTAACGCAAGCCTTGCCCAGTCTGCATTTCCTTTGGCTGCGCCGTGGAATCTCCACCTCCATAAAGCCAGTTAAAGCAGAATGTAGGGAGCGTTAGACAGAGGACAGAAACCACAACGCCGTGGACTCTTACTGGTGAGATTTCATGCTTGAATAGATGTGTGTGATGTATGTACTGCTGAGGAATGGCAGTTCCAGGATGGTCATGTGGTGGAAGATAAATTCTGCAAGCTTCCACTTTTAACAGATAAAAATATCATTCTTCAAGATTATTTTCACTCTAACACCCTACACCGAAAACTCTTCCCATTATCATTATTGAGGAATGGTGAACGTATCCAGTAAACTCATGAAAGCCTTGGGTAATCCACAGTTTCAGAAACACATCTAAGGATGAAGAATAATTTCCTCCGAAAAAAGTAATCCTTCCATAAGTAAGAACCAGGTAGACTGATCGTGTCTAAAAAATAGAAGCATCAGCCAGAGCTGGTGGTGCACACCTGTAATCCCTGCATTCCAGGAGGCTGAGGCAGTAGGATTGAAAATTCAAGCCCCGCTTGGGCTATTTAGCAGTTTAGCAAGATCCTGACTCCAGTGAAAGAAATGAACAGGGGTTGGGATATATCAGAGACCCCCATGGCTCGTTCCAGTCTCTTACTCAGTGTTACAATCCACGGTGAGAAGAAAGACTTAGAGACAAAGTGAAAGTGACAGAGATATGGAGAGCCAGGATGACTGATGCTCAGGCAAGCGAGGCTGAACAAGCAAAGGCCCGGAACACCCAGAGCTGTCAGTTTTTATTGGTGACATCATAGGTAGACTGAGGTAAAGGCACTAGGTGGAGGGACTATGTAGAGTTGCTATGGATACATTGTAGATGCAGGCAATGCTTGTAAAGGAAGAAACACAGCATTCTTGATTTAGAAATAGAACAGACAAAATGTAAGTTTTGGTTAATAATTAACCTTGTGTTTTTGGTACAGAGGTCTTGACCCTGGGAACAGGATTTGTATAAGTCACTCTGACCTCTGCATGGAGGCTTCAGTCAGATGTACTTCTATGAGCAGGCTGATCGCAGGGTTAGCTCTCTCTCTCTCTCTCTTTTTGTTTTTTGTTTGTTTGTTTTGTTTTTTGAGACAGGGTCTCACTATGTAGTTGAGACTGACCTGGAACTCACAGTGATCCTCTTGCCTCAGCCTCCCAAGTGCTGGGATTACAGGCGTGCACCACCACGCCCACCTCTAGGGTTAACTCTTTACTGCCTGCCCTGTTTACAGCCTGCTTTGGTCATAATCAATAGGGTGGTCATCAATAGGGATATCAGTGTGAAGGTCCTAGATGCTATCTCCACTATCACAGAAGAGAGAGTATCTGATACTTTGGATGTAAATTCCTGGAATGCAGCTAAAAACCCATCCCTCCGTTCAAAATCCTGGATTCTTTAGGAGGAGAGTTCCTCTGCCTTCACTGGAGAACATGTTACTTTATCGTTAATGTAGAAAATATAATAAGGCCCCTGGAGAGAATATAGTCATCCCCTCTACAAATGTCTGATCACCTGTTTAATTTCCAAATGAGAAAATAAATGTTTTGAATAGAACCAGAGACCAGTTAGGAGCTCTGACCTCTGTCCCGCTACTGGTCATTTATTCTTGACTATTTCTTTTTTAACCATGAAATATGGTCTGGATAGTAGAGATGGGAAGGAGAGGGACGTAGAGCAGATCTTTTGTCCACAATCTTTTGTCCAACCCTCAAATCCCATAGTTTCCTATCTAGATTGTTAAGCTTTTAAAAATGGTTAATATAAACCATGGGAATGGCTAAAATTTAAACCACCAACAGCATCACATGTTACTGAGGCAGTAGAGCAACAGGAACTCTCAACATAACTAGTGGGAATGTGTAATGGTACGGGTGATACTCGCACAGTTTTCTACAAGATTAAATGTCTCAGTTACTTTTGTTACTGAGACCAAATACCTGGTACTGAAAGTTAAAGGGGGAAATATTTATTTAGCTCACAGTTTGTAGAGGGTTGAGTCCATAATTGGCTGGCTGCACAGCAGAGAGGATGGCAAACAGGCATCGCAGAAGAGAAATAACAGGGGACCCACAAAGTAGCAAAAGCAACTAGGAACCTTGACATCGTCTTTCTGCCCCTTTTATCTTATCCAGACTACTGGGATTAAGACAGTGCCAAGCCAACAAGTGTACTGGTTTAGTAATCACATGCTCTTAATCCCAGCATCACAAACTCTAGATTCAGTCACCTCTGAAGAGGTCCTGTGGGGCCGGAATTTAGCTCAGTGGTTCGGTGGCCTGCTTTGCAAGTGCAAGGACCTGAGTTCAATCCCCGGTACCAAAAAAAAGGAAAGAAGTCCTGTGACTTCATGATGCTTTTGGGGGACATCTAGCCACAAACCTAACATAAAACATATTCTTTCCCAATAGTTTCTCTGGTGTGAATAATCTGCAATAATACAGAAGATCCTAATAAGATTACTGACATTTAGAAATGGGAAGAAAGGAGCTAAAGGTGTAGGGAAGGTGGGATGGGTAGGGGAAGGGTAATAAGGGAAAAGAAAAAAATGTGAGATAATGGAAAGATGGAAATAAAGTGTTTGCAGGTGGGGAGGGGAGGAGGGGGTGAAGGGAGGGCAGGGACAAGGGGAAAAAATGAGAAGCAAGACTTGTCATGTAGAGGTACAAGATCCCAACAATGAATGTAACTGTACTGTATACCTAAAATGTACCAATAAACTCAATTAAAGCTGAAAAAAACCTACTCTTTCCCTATGATTTAGAGGTTGCATTCTTTGACATTTACCCAAAAGATTTGAAAGCTTATTTTAACCACATAAAAACATGCTCATGGAGGTTAATGACAGCTTAATCGATAATTGCCAAAACTTGGAAGCAGCCAAGATGTCTTTCAGTAGAGGAATGGATAAACTGGAACATCAATGAAATGTCATTCAGTACTGAAAAGGAGTGAGTTGTCAAGCCTGGGAAAGCCATAGAGGAAACCTAAACACATATTAGTGAGTGAAGGAAGCCAATGTGAAAAGGCCACGTACTGTATGACTCCATGCTCAGGGCATTCCGGAACAGGTGAAACTGTGGAGCCAGTCAAAAGGTCAGTAGCTGCCAGACGTCAAGGTGAAAGGAGGGATGAAGAAGAAGTCAGAGGGCAACAAGGCCACTCGGCGTGATGGGAGCTGCACGCCTTCTCTCCGTCTGCCAACTCCCCCAGGATGTGCACAGTGCTTTGGGCACTGTTTTTCCTCTCAAAGGAAAGGAGGCTGGGTCTGCAGTGTGATGACATCAGGAAGTAGGACTGTTAAGAGGCAAAACCTAGCGGGCTCCTTTGGGCAGCTGGGGAAAAGCCCTACAGAGGGATTAAAGTAGATCTTGTGTGACCTTTAGTTCACGGGAAAGGATCACTATAAACAGGTCTGAGCCCGGCTCCACTTGGCTCTCCCTGGCTTCCTGTTTTGCACTATGACTTTCCTATCCTTTGGGTGGTATGATCTTTGCTCCCACACACGCCCCCGTGAGGATATGACATCATCCGCCTTTCAGCCCTCACCAGGAGCCCAGCAAATAGTGTGGCCGGTCTTGGACTTGGAATCCGAAGAACTGAGCTAACTGAATTCCATTCCTTTGTAAAGTTGGCCTGTGCCGGGCGATTTTAATACTGAGAAACAGAACTACTGCAGTGCACAACAGCAGAGATGAACCCTAATATAACCTGTGGTTATAATGACGAGTCCATGTATGTTTAGCAGTTACACTAAATGGCACCACAGTGATTGGGTTGATAGTGGGATGGTTGTGTTTTGGGAATGGGGGTTGTACATTCTGCTCCATTTTTCTATGAACCTAAAACTGCTTTAAAGAAATATATATATATAAAACTAATGTGAATCTCAAAAATTTTATACCCAGGGATTCAACCGACTATGGATCAAAAACCTTTGAAAAAACTGTGTCCTAAATATATAGACTTTGCCCCTTGCCATTGTAGTATCACACTATTCTCAGAGTATTTCCATTACATTAGGTATTATAGTTCAGACATTAATGCATACAGGCAGATGTGTGTAAGTTCTATGCAAATATTACACCATTTTATCTAAGGGGCCTGGACATCCTCAGATCATGGTGTCCTGAGAGGTCCCGGAAGCAGTCCCCTTTGGACACCAGGGGATGACTGTGCAGGTGTTCCGGCCTTACGGTAAGGTAGGTCTATCTAAGTCCCCATCCTTCTCTGGTTGACGTTAGTCTGGGAGAAGCAGAGCAAGCTGTCATGAACACGAGTCAAAGGCCAGGCACTAAGGAGGAAATTCCTTCTCCAGCCAGTTTCCCCCCAGCTGAAGAAGGGGAGTATTACCCCGGGTCAGTGATCGGGGCAGTTAGAAGATAGAATGAGGGTAATGGCATTGCAAAAAGTTTAGAAGAGAGACAGGTGTTGAGTTGGTACTAACTCAGCCATTGTGTGCTGCTGCTTGGCAGTGCGACCCATGATGTGCAAACCATGTTCAACCTACTTAGGGTCTCCATGGAGCCTCTGATGACAGTGCCAAGTGGCTGCTGCTGTGATTGGGTTCTGAATAACATTTAGGGACGCCCAGGATCTTTGGAAGTCGTTGCTTAGGTGGATTTGAGCCAAGTCTTTGAAAAGGGTGGGTAGGGTGTGCCAGGTAGAAATAACCTCTAATGCTCCCATGACTGATAGAAACCACTTTCCTTGGGCGAGTCCCATCCTGCTTTGGGAGAAGGTCACCATCGTAAGGTGGTTGTTCAAATGTGATAATTCAGGTAAAGTGCTCGGCACACTGCAAGGTGCACGGTAAGCGACTGACTGCTAATGATTATTAATGAATGAGTCACTGTCCTCCCCCAGCTGGTAGGCTTCTCTAATAAAATTATGGTAGGTTTACTGCTTTTGAAGTTCTAATGGTATTGAACCACAGCAACTTTTGATGTAATGTTGGAAACATCTACTTAAGTTTTCTAAAAATGGGATCATAATGGCATATTTTTGTAGAAATCTCCTGTATTACTGAATCACCTAATAATTTTTAAATGAAGTTTAAAATATTTTTTACATGAAAGAAAGTCATCTATACTACAGAAAAATGTCAATCCATATAGAAATACAAATGGAGAGTGTTCTCCCATGAAGGTAACAGACTCCTACAAGAGAACGTGTATGCATTTATCCCTTTGCATAAACATCTTATTTACACAAAGGGACCCCATTGTAAATTCTTTTCTGAGATCTCAGTTCCACACCAGAAAAGTGACATTTTAAAGAGCACCGTTCAGTAGCTCCTCATATCACAAGGTTGTAAAACTAGCATCACTATCTACTTCCAGGACATTTTTGTCATCCCCAAAACAATCCCTTGGCTGTTAACAATTATTCTCCATTCTTTTCTTCCGTGTGTCCTGGAAGACACTAATCTACTTCATGGTCTTTGCGGACTTGCCTATTCTGGGCACTTCACGTAAACAGAGCCGTACGGTATTGTGGTCCTGTGTAACTGGCTTCTTTCACTAACCTCAGTGTTTTCGTTTTGTTTTGTTTTTTGGTACCGGGGATCGAACTCGGGTCCTTGTGCTTGAGAGGAAGGCAGCAGAACCACTGAGCTAAACCCCCGGCCCTCCTCAGTGTTTCCAAGATTCACCATGCTGTAGCAGGTATTACCCTCTTTCCCCGAAATAAGATCTAGCTGGGAAAGAACCCCTCTTGAAAACTAGCGCTGCAGAACCCCAGCCCAGTCAGCCCACCCCTGCCTTACCTGCCATCGCTGTTCTCTTGCTCTGTGGCTGCTCCGTAAAGCAGATAGGCCGATGTCAGGCGGACTGGGGCTGGTGTTGTTGATCTCTACTTTTCAAGGCTGATTATTTTCCAGCGAGGTGTTATTTTGGGGGAAATGTGGTAGAACTTCATTCCTTGTTATGGTCAGATAATAATCCATCCTATAGATGTACCATGTTTTGTTTACCTGTTTACCATTTAGTGGACTTTGGGTTATTTTTACTTTTTAGCTATCTTGAATACTGCTGTTTACTTGTACATGTGTGTACAAGCTCTTTACTTTTTAGCTATCTTGAATACTGCTGAATACTTGTACATTTGTGTACAGGCTCTTTACTTTTTAGCTATCTTGAATACTGCTGAATACTTGTATATTTGTGTACAAGCTCTTGTGAGCATAGATTTCCATTTTCTCGGTTAGGTGAATCAAGGAGTAGAACTGATCGGTCATACGGTGACTGTATTTTAACTCGTTGAGGAACTTTTCCAAGGCACTTGCACCATGTAACATTCCCCCAGCAATGTTAGAGTGTCCCAGTTTCTCTACTTCCTTCCATACTGGGTACTTTCCAGTTTATTCATCTTAGCCTTTCTGAAGGGTGTGAAGTACTATCTCATTGTGATTTTGACTTTCCTAATGGCTAACTATGTTGTGAGTATTTTCATGCCCTGTTTCTGATTTGTATATTTTCTTTGCAGAAATATCTATTGAAATCATTTGCCCATATTTTAATTGGAATATTTATCATTTTATTATGGATTGATATGAATGTCTTTAAATATATTCTGGATACTAAATTATAATCATGTGACTTGCAAACATTTTGTTTTTCTGTATGTCTTGTCAATAATGTCCTTTGAAGCAAAAGTCTTCAGTTTTGACAAAGTCCAATTTATTTTTCCTTTAAGGATTCTTTATCATTAGACAACCTGCATGACACTTTTTCTTCCCTTTAAAAGGCAATGCTGCCATTTTTTTCTAAATAAATGACAAGATGGGGCCAGGAGTGTAGCTCACTGGTTCTGCCACCTGTACAAGGTCTCAAGTTTGATCCCTGGCACCAAAAATAAATAAATAAGTGACAGGATGGCATCTTTCCCCTGTATATTAAGTACTGGTGTTATGTGGATGACAGGCAGTAGCCATTTATCACGATGGATCCGAAGATACCTCCAAATTCGTTAACATTTTTCCATTCCTGAACCATCCTTAAAGAGAATCCCATTCTCATCATAGCCCAGAAGAGCAATTGTGATAGTTAACTGATTGCGTCAACTTGAGCAAGAAACGCTCAACCATATGGGGTCAGCATAGTTCCAGGTGTGGCTGAGGGGATTTATGGAGGACAGGAGACCCGCCCTGGGTAGGCTTGTCAGGTGGATGGTGGAAAGGGAACCGAAGCAGGAAGGCTCGCTCTGTGTCTTCGGAGGAGCTCCAGTCTTCTTGTGTGTTGTCTCCTGACTTCCCTTGTGGAATCTTCTTCAGCCTCCAGCTCAGACCCTTCAGCCTTCCCTTGTCTCTTGACAGGGACTCACTCAGGAAAGCACAGTGAGCCCCAGGTCTTCACCTGAATCCTTTGCATCCCCAGCACGCAGACAGCCTTTTTGCACTCTTCCACACCTGACTCTGCAGGTGGCCACTGCAAGCCAATCTTGTAAATTCTTATATATTTGTATATCTTGAATTAAGTGTGTTTCTCCAGTGAGCACTGACTGCCATCGCATCCTTGCCATATAGATTGTCTAAATTCATGCTTTCCACCAATGAATACCTGGCAGTATTTTGAAATTAGCAAGGCTATGCTGGATTCCGCAGGCCCCATTATAAAAGGTTTTATTCTTGCCACTCTGTTCTTCAAGTTAGCCTTTGATGGATTTCAGATTATCTTTGATATATTTTCTTGAAGGCTTCTTCTGTAAAGCTGGTTTCCTACAAGTGCTGGCTCATGACACCAGTGATGCGTGGGCCTGCCGTCACCTTTGGGGCCTTCGGCAGAGGTGTTTCCACTATGAGCAGGACATCACGGTGGCCTCTCTCCTACTGATCATCCAGGCACAGCCCATCTTGGTTCCCCAAGTCTTGCAAACTTCAGAGACTATTTCCTCATGGCTGATGAGGTCCTAGGAGATACTCATAAAGATGGCTGGAGGGAGACTGGGTGAGACCAGCATTTATCAGAGACAAGTGCATGACTCAGGCCAGGGGAGGAGGGGTAAAGATTGTATTTTTGTTATTTTAACTGAGGCTCTTTCTGTGCCAAGTATACAGGTTCAAGTCATTCTCAGCTTCATGGAAGTCCATTGTATGGAATCTCCCCATAATTTCTTCACCTCTTAATGAACAGACTGTTTTCCAGCTTCCTGCTAAATAGATGTTACTATAGTGACCACTCTTGAGCATGACCTTTTCAACAAGTACCATCATAGGGTAAACTCTGAAAGCAAAATTGTTGGGTCAAAAGGAGCATGTTTTTGAAATACAGATAAATAATACCAGACCATTCTGCTATACAATAGTATAAGTACCTGTCACATCCCCTACCTCACCCCCCCACCCACAAAGTATAAAAGAAAAATTATACCAGCTCCGATCAGACTTCATTAGTGCTTTTATTTTATTTTATTTTGGGGTTTTGGTACTGGAGATTGAACCCATGGCCTTCAAACTGAGCTATATCCTTGGTTCCTTTTTTTATTTTTATTTTTTGAGACCATCTTGCTAAGTCTCACAGGCTGGGCTGGAACTTGTGATCCTCCTGTTTCAGCTTCCCAGTGTTCTGGGATGGTGGATGTGCATCTCCACACCCAGGTGAGACTTCACTTATGTAGAAAGTTCTATTTTGAGATATACTGCCATGTGCTTAATTGTTCCCCTTCACAACCCTGCTAGGATGACTTTTCTTGCCTACATCTTGTGTTTCCACAGGATGAGTTTCAAGAAGCAAATAGAAGGATTCAGTGGCGAAAACAGAATTTTACCTAGTTGACTTCTCGTTCCGTGTGTGTCTCTCCACAGGGGATCGAGTATATCGCCAATGCTGGAGGGACGCTGACTGCCATCTGCGATTCCTTAAAGAGAGATTGGACGAGAACAAGGTATTGTACAGGTGTTGCCAGAAGAATCTGTGTAATGCAGAACTGGATGATACAGAAGAGGATGGAGCAGCTGCCTTATCAGGGAAAACAGTGCTTCTGGTGACCCCGTTTCTGACCTCGGTCTGGAATCTTTGCTTCTAAGTCAGCTCCAGGAAGGATTTGTTCAAATTTTGCCCTTGTTTTTCTATCTCCTTGTTGCTGTTCTCTAAAGTCTTTATCTGTTTCCCAGCTGAAACCTGTTGGGCAAGAATAAAATAAACTTGAACATGAGTAGCCCAGTGCTGTGCACAGAGAGGGCCCTTGAGGGAGAAGCTGGAGGGAGAAGTGTGTGTGTCTAGTAGGTTACATACTTTTTCCTCTGCTCTTTGGAGGGACCATTTTGCAATGGCAGCGTAAGTGGGTTCTTGGCAACCTGCAGGTATTTCCCTCTGGTTCCTTGGGTGGAGTAAACTGGTATGATCAGTACTTGGTTGAGGGAGGTGCCGACAGATTGTTTTTCAGTATTCTCTGTCCCATGGAACACTTTCATTAACGTCCTGGCTTATTCTTCTGTGTAGGAACACTCAGTGCTCTGGACGGGGGCCATCAGGAGAAATCTCTGGGGTTTTTTTGTTTTGTTTTTTGCAGTGCTGTGGGTGGAAGCCAGAGCTCATGCATGGCAGACGATCTCTCTACCATTGAGCCACACCCTGGGCTGGACAGTGAAGTTCTTACTGCAGAGGGATTGGGATCACTGCTCTGTCTCAGAGGATGTGTGCAGGGAAGGGTAGGCTTTCCTGTTGGCAGGGCACTCTGTCTGCAGAGTAGCTGAAATTTATTCCCCATGTCTCTAAATTTTATATGGGAGATACATAGGCCCTGGGTTTGATACTTAGCACCACAGAGAAAGCAAGCAAGCAAACAAGAAGGAAGTAAGAGAAAGAAAGGAAAGAAAGAAAGAAGAGAAAGAGAAGGAAAGAAAGAAAGAGAAAGAAAGAGAAAGAAAAGAAAAGGACAGGAAAGAAAGATGAAAGAAACAAGGAAGAAGAAACAGAAGGAGGGAGATGAAAGTATGGAAGGAAGGGTGGAAAAAACAAAAGGGATTTGCTGTCTTTTAATATAAAAGTGTGATTCCCTAAAATAATAGTATGTTTCTGTCTCCTTTTTCCTGGAACAGGGGGGTTATCTTGATATCTTGATTTTGCCACACATAATTAAAGAACATCCTGTATCACATGATAGGAAGTATTGTGCAAGTTTTTAAACGTGACCCTGCATATATGTGCCCGTAGAGTGCACGCAGTGGGAACAGCCTTTGGGGCTGCCATTTAGACTGTCAAATGCCATCATCAATAGTGACAGATCGCAAGCATATTTTACCTGCTCACGTTCAGCTTGCTGGCTCTTGCCTGACTCAGCACAGATTATACGAAATGTAAAGGGGTATCACTAGCCACTAATACAGAAGGTTTTGAAAGCTATATTTCCAATAAATAAATAAATAAATAAACAAATAAACAAATAAATAAAATGCTATGCCCTCTTCAGGAGGGCGAAGTTGTTGGATGTTGATTTTTGTCAAAATCGAGGAGACTTAAGGACATTTATATTCTTGTGATTATGGTTGTATTTAATAGCATAGCTGGATATTTCAAAGAAAGGAAGAATTTCTTGATAAATATTAAGAAAAAATAATTCTGGATTATATGCTGTGTTAGATGAATGTGTTATGTAATCTTTTCAATAACAATGCACTTTGCTGAAAATAAAATCTAATCAAATGGATGAGCATGGTTATTGGTCCAGGAGGATAACAGAGCATGTAATATGCTCAATGGTAGCAATGGAAAGAAGAAATCTGTGCTATACCAGATTTCATCCGATGATGCCATTACTTGGAGAGAGAAAGATAGAGACTTTCTCTTCACAACCTAGCCCTGCTTGGTGTTCTGTGCTCTTCTCTATTGGCCCCATGTTTTTCCTGACACCCTTTTTGATTCTCTGTTCCAAGACAAATTACTGCATGTGACTCTTTCCTCGATAAGATATTCTTCTGCCCAAGAAAGTGCTAACCATGCCCACAGCCATGGGCTGAGCAAAACAACTTCTTTTATAGGAATGGTAAGAAACAAGTGTTCCATTTGGACTCACTTAGGCATGAAATGAATTCTTTGGAACTTCGTGGAGAAATGCATGCAGAGCCCCCAAAAGCCAGGAATTGGACAGTTCCAAAAGTCTTTCAAAGCTGGGTCCCCTCAAACCTCATGAAACCCCATGTGGGGCTCTTGGGAGGGGATGGATCTGGGTGTGTTACACCCATGGTATCAGTGGATTAGGCCACTGATCGTTCTGGGTGTGGATAATGGGACAGCCTATGCTGGGTGTGGGTGGCACCACCAATAGGCCTGTATCCTGGATGGGATCAAAGGAAAAGGAAGGCTTGCTGCTGACTGCCTCCTGTCTGCTCTGCCATGGACTGTTTCTCCTCTGTCTTGCTGCCTGCCTTGGAACCATCCAACTACAGACTGAAACTTCTACATGCTGTGAGCTGAAATAAACCCTTCCTCCCTTAACTTGTGGATGTTGGGTATTTTGTCCCAGCAATGGGAAAGTAACTAAGACACACACATAGCATTCACTTGTGGAACTAGTGTTGCCTCTGATATTAACCAGTCCACGGCCATCCTTGTGTATCACAACGATCATCACTTCCTCTCAATTCAAGACTAATACTCACGGGCTAGGCATACATGAGCTGAGGCTGTCCCTTGGACACAATGCCCAAGAGACAAGAACAAAGTGTGAGGTATTTGAGGTGGGCCCATGAGGGTTTCCTTTCCCTGGTTAATTTGTTGTTTGTCAGCTCCGGATAAAATATGTGTTTGTGAGAGAACTGCACTTCACTGAAAACATTCTTTGCTTCCGGACCATTGTAAGTCCAGATAAGGATCCCTTTTCCAGATCTCCCATAAAGATGCTAAGTTTGGCGGAATCATAGGTTGGCTGTAATAGCCATTTCCTAGCAATCCTCTTGTCCTTTGCCTCTCACTGTAGGGAATGAAGAGTCACCACTCGTTTTCTCTGGGCTGTCAGCTAGGCCAGGAGAGAAGCCGGCTGGGAGGGACAGGGGAGGCTGTTAGGAAATGGGCTCTCCCTCATGAAAGGAGAGGAAGGCTGAATAAAGTTTGCACCTGCAGCCTTGGCCAGCTCCCTGCACCCCGCTTTTGGGTACAGGTTAAGATGTGACAGGAGGAGGCTTGGGGACCCAAAGGGCGGTGGGAGGAGCCGAGGGGCGGGGAAAGGCAGGAGGCGGGAGGCGGGACTATGAGGCCTTTGCCAGCAAAGTGGAAGCCAAGGTTTGGCCCTTCAACATCGGCTTTCCCACAGCATTGAGGCTGTGTTTTCAAAGGACAGCTCGCGTCCTGGAGCGTGGCCTCCGGACTTCCATGCCCCGCCCATTCGGGGGTTCCGGGCTGGGCTGAAGAGTGGGGCCCGCTCTTTCAGGGCATATCCTGTGGAAGCTGGGACACCAGTGAGTCAAAGCATCTGCACGAATCTCCCGGCGCGAGTTTTCTCCCACCCAGACTCATTCAAAAGATGCCAGCAGCCGGCGCCGCCCCCCTATTTCCCGTCCCTCTACGACGGTGGCATCTCCTCCTCTCCGCTCCACGACTTCAACATCTGG